CTCCGATTTATACAGTTTGTAGGATGTTTCATTTTATAGGCCTGGTCAACGACGCTAACGTGTAGTGCTGTGGTAAATATTTCTTTGACGTTTGCCGGGTGTAATGACTCTCATACGCAGGAATGGATAAGATGTTCTTTGGCTTTTTGTTTGTTTTCGTCAGATATCTTGTTTCTGTTAGGGTGAGACCCTCTACTATCCAATAGTGTCTCTCTTTTTCTGGATTCACTGACTGATGTCAAATATCCTGAAGCACCCTTTGCATATACGCTGTAATAACTTACTATTTCTTCTAAGGTGGTACACTGCAGTATCAATACGTCTTTTATTGCTACCTATCTTACGAATTCTAGTAACTTTCATGGGGTTAAGTCAGATGTGTAGTCGGTGAAAAGGAGATTAGTCTACTTATCTCTTTAGAGCACGCCACGTAACTATTATAATTCTGTGAACAAGGCGATAATATGACTTGACTTCCTTTACACTGGATAATTCTACAATTTTACCGACATAAATCTTTAGTGCATTAGCTATATCTTCGCACCTGGAGCTAATATGACTTATCCCACTTTACACTCACAAAGATGGACGTCTATACGTTCGGTATATGACTTATTCCCGTTTTACCAAAATTATGATGACTTATCTCCGTTTTCACCCCTTTAATTAATATGAGTAATGCCATAAAGTGATTTGGTTTGATAATTTCTTCTTGTACTTCTACTTCCGTAATTTTTTCCTCCGAACGATAACCAACTATTATAATTCTTGGCTTGAACATTCTTGGTTCAGATATCTTGTAGGATGTAGGTATATTTTTTTCGATTTCTTGTTTAAGTTGGGTATGAACACAATCTTGAACGTTTATTTCTACAGCTCCATTTTTTGCAGTTTTCGACCGCGAGGTCTAAATTTTTGTTGAAATCATATCGGTCTGGAGGTTTGGTTGTTGTTGATCAGGTGTAATGATTATGATTTTCAAAGATCTTGTCTCTTTGATTGGTGATGCTGTACTTGCAGCCAGCTGAGAATATGAGACATTTTTAGTTGCGGTTGATTTTTCAAATACTTCCATTCGTGTATTTTGTCTTTCCAATGTGCCGGTAATAGTGTACTTTTCTACGGTGTTGGTGGCTAATAGATCGTAGTTCTCTTGGAACCTACGATTTTCGTTGGACAAATGATGAACTAACCTACCTTTTTCAGCTAGTAATTTACTCAGTATTTCAATTTTCTCATTAGGTCTCTTAATTTCTTGGTTAAGTGCTGTTTCCGTATTTTTGTCATTATTTATTAACGTCCAAATTTCTTGATTAATTGCTGTACTTGAATCCTTTTCATTTTTATTGACCATAATTTTGTGGCTATCCACTTGATTTTTACAGTCTTCTTCATTTTTCTTTTTCTTCTTGCTCATTTTTCGACATTCAGTCTAGAGTAACTTCTCGTGAATCTGATTGTCAAAAATTGTATGTCAAATTTTGAAGATCGACGTGGCCGAAAATGATATGCAAGCGAGCAGATACCTCACCAATATTCTCATTGGTATATTTCTTCCTTATGATGTGCACCTTCTCAACAGATAAATTGTAAATGTCGTAGGACTGGTGATAAATATCAAAATACGGTAGGCTTTACAAATAAGTTTATAGCAAACTATCTATATGTGACATTTTTTTAGATAAAAGATACATAACCTTTGTCATCCACGACAGTATGATTTACTTTTTGGAGATACCACTCTTTTTCTTATCTTAGCCTCCAGTGGAATATGAAAAAATACTTTATCCGGTGCTTTCCGTATCGTATTTTGCAGATGGTAGGTTATGCTTAGGTTCTCGTTCTTCATCCAAACTTCTATCTCTTTTTAATTACAGCTAGATGATATAAAATAGCTGTGGAAAGTTGACAGAAAGTTAACCAAAAATACAATCACATGCGGTGTTTAAATCAACTATAGGTTTAAATATTTAAAAAATACAGAAATTTTCATGTGTTTACGATATTATATTACCGAAATAATCGATAGATAAAACAACGAAACATGCATATTCTCACTATTCACATGTTCTCTAGACTCATCATCTCTGCCTTCTCATATTTAATAAAAAAAAAACATCCAAAATGTTAGCAAATGATGTTTGCTACACATTCATATGATTAAATACGAGTTTCGGATCTGCAAGTTCGTTATGGTGTTTTCTGAGTGACGTATCCCCATCTACATCCATGTTAATGTTGACGAGGTTGAAGCTTTCAGGGAGACACATTATTTTCGGCGGGAAAACACGGGAAGATTACAAACAGAGCCGGCATTGTGCATTGTACACGGTATTCATGCGAGAATTTAAATTATGCCCATTGTTGGATTTTAATGAAATTGGTAATGGAGGGGATGATTCGATGGTTTTATTCAACGTGGTGACGCCTGTTTTTGCAGCTGCAGTTTCCGCTTTGCAACCAGGGTGGTGGCCTCTCCATTTTGTAATGATGAAACTCGGTTTCTGTCTACAAATGATTTTTCATTAGAATTTCTATATTCAAAGTTATTTATTGTTGATTGAGGATCAACAAGGGGCTGCTTCTATTCGCGATTGTCTGTCAGAATCAAGGTGAAAAAAGTGAAAAGAACAAACAAAAGTAACGAGAGCAAAGTTGGGGAAGTATGTCGGATGGAAGGCTACATGGCATTGTTAACTGGAACTAGTAAATTTTACATTGATTAAAAGAATAATTTTGAGGATCGTTATTGTAAGCAGTAATTTTGGTAGGTCGTAAAATTGTAGGATTTAATTTTGTCCGAGTCTTGTGAGCCTGTAAAATTGCTCGACTCCGTTGTCTACGGAGTCACGTAAGAGATGATGAAGTGTCCAATTCTGCTTGATTCTCCTGTTATTTAATTTAGTTCCCAATAAGTGTAGGTTTCTGTGACCCTACCATTTGAAGTATACCATGGGGTGTTAGTGATAGTACAGGGGTGACCAACTAAGAATGCGAGGTACTGTATCTGGGAACCTATCCATCGTATAGCCTGGCGGCAAAAAAAGTTCTTATTGAAACGGCCAAGAGAAAAACCGCTAGGGAACGTAACGGCAATCTTGAATCTAAAAAAGTGATGTTTCTGTAAATTCCGCTATATCAATCTAACAAAAAAATACCTGATCTTAAAATTCGAGTACTATCGGAACCTCTTTTGTTTGACAATTTTTGCTGTAACTCTAAAAATAAAGTGGTGGGGGTATTCAAAGTTTTCCGTAAAGCACAACACGTATCTTCGAAACGGCTGAGCCGACTTCGCCAAACTTGGGCTAGTTAAGAAGAGCTACTCTTGGGCTACATATGTTATAATATTTGAAGTTTTGTTAGTTTCACATGTGGCCGCTAGATGGATTTTTTGACATTCCGACAGAAATGGTTAATTTTCTCAAAAAATTAAATGCATTGGTATGATTCTTTTTTTTTTGTCATTATACCTGTTGTTTTCGGCGGCTGAGCTATTTTGGATACCATTTGAATGCTGACAAAAAGGATAAGCTATATGCGACAAAAAATTACTGTGGTAACATCAGAATACCTTCAGGAGCAAAGTAAAATGACTATGAATTAGTGGTCACTCCAGATGACCAGTAGATCCAAAGCGGCTTTCCTAAAACCTTTAAGAGACAAAATAGCCATATGATTACCCATAATACATTTCTGTTACCACAAATGCATCCATCTTCTCTGAAACACCATTCAGTACTCCACGCAAATTGACGTAATGCAGGAACATTAGAATATATCAAACAATCACGTGGAAGGAACTACCGATACACCCTTTGAACCTCGACCTGCATGGAAATTACGTATGTTGAAAAGTGACTGTCTGTTTTGACATTATATAGGTTTTTTTGTGACATTATGTAGGTGTTTCTACAAGATGTCAACTTAGAACTAGCTGTGGCTACTTGATGTGCAATCGTTCAGTAGCTGTACGTGTTGTCTAAACGTCATGCCGCTTCAGCTATCAATGTCTGGCTTTGATGTGAGCTAACATCCGCTTTCGAGAAGGCATTATTGGAGGTCTATGCTGTAGCTTGTATACTATAGCTGGAAGAAAACGGGAGTGCATAGGTGCATAGAGAGGATTTGTGTTCTAACGTAATATGTGTCGATAATTCCATTGGTTTCTTGTCTCACATATACTTTCTTGAGATATATGAAAAGCTAGATATTAGTTTCGCATCCACTTTTTCTTATTCATCCTGGAAATTAGATATGTAAATTTTCTGAATTCCAAAAATGAGAGAGATACGAAAATCCCTGGCTGGTGAAGTATATTACACCTAACAGGCGAGAAAGTATGCTACAGACAGGAATATTCATGAAACATGAAAAAGTCATTACACTTTAGACTATTTTTCATTTCCAGCCTTTTAAATTTTATAATTGTGGAAAATCGTAATTTATAAATTTGAATACACAATCTCTCTGCGTAAAGGACAATACAAGTATGCCGACTGATACAGCTAATAGATATACTTCATGGGCAACATATAAGTAATGATTTTCTCACATAGTGAATATCACTGATTTTATACACAAGCAGGCCAATACTCACAAACATCCAGAATGCGATACTGCTACTCAACCAATTTTCTTTGTCACATCTTTTTAGAGATATACTCTACACACCGTCTCGGAATTCTACAACCAACAAAGCATGCTGGAAACTGACTTGCAGTATGGCCATTGATGCGCTTTTAGTGACGTTCACAGCGCTCATAGCGAGCAAACGCGGAATCAACTATTTGCATCCTAGGAACTATCTAGTCAGCAAGTTGACATTTTGTAGGTTTTTTGACATTATATAGGTTTTTCATATAATAACCGTGCCGATGACAGCATCACTGATGTACATCTTACATATTTTGAACTTCAGATTTTGTATCATCAGGTAAATACTTGCCAACATTTGAGTTACTTAAGTACTTTTCCAAAAAGGCACGAGGACTATTTACCTTTATTTTGATTTTGATGATTCCATTAGGATCCTCTACAGCTTCTTTGTCTAACGGTTTTGCTGTTCTTAATTCACCTGTCATAGCGTCAAGCAGGAAACAATCTTTTGGATCTGGAAAGGAAAACAATAATTATGCTAGAGCTAGAGCAGAAATGCGTGAATATTAAATGAGATGGCGTTATTCCATTATTTGTCAATCGAGTTTATATACACAATAATTTCTAATTACTATACTTTGTGACACAGAAACCACTAAAATGTGTGCCGTCAAAATATATAAATAATGTGATCTAATGCAAGTAAGAACTTTCTACAATTTGAATTAGATCAACGTGAAATAGTTTTTCGAACTGAATTAAATAAATTGAATTACTGTATTTAATACATACATTAGTACTGCCTTAACTACCAGTTATTGATTAAAAACATGCTAAGAACACAGTGGCTTTTCATGTTTCTTTACGCCGCTGGCAGCAGGTATTGTAACCAAGAAAAATTTCGATAACGTGATATAATGTTTTATGGATGTTATTATGACGTGTAAATTACGAAAAGTCATGGTAACTCATTTCCGTCAGTATGCCTGTCTGTCGGTCGGATTGTAATGAAATTTCCACACAAGGTTACTACTATGTACAGAACGTAAAGGATTTGCAGTTTTCTATAACCGGTCCAGTGGTAGTGTAGCTAGGATCAAAAAATGAAAAAAAAAAACGCTCGAGCTTAGTTTATCGGCGTTCTGACTATTATTTGCAGATAACTTTTTGTAGCGGTTAAAAATTGGGGATAGGGAGTTGTGTGAGTTGGATCATTAATATCATTGAAATATATTTTATTATCCCGTGCCCCAGCCGCAGCTTTATCGGGTTTGTCGACGATGCGCGACTTAGAGGATTTTTTCGCGAGTCTACGGTGTAGCACAGTGCACTACCGGCAACCGATACTCAAATTTTCGCGAAGAACCGGAATAGGGGAAGACGGATGTGACGTCGTCCGAATGTCAAAAAATCACGTGGTACGGGAACCCGCCTAACGACTGTGAGGTACTAGCGGGTGACAGGTCTTATGTCAATGTCATTTAAAAAATAGGCATCTCAATTGAAAATTTGCCTTCGCAGTGCCGAAAATTGAGTTAAATTATTAAATCATAAATGGAGGAACACGTCCACCTGATTTTAAATAACGAGTGAGAAGGCCATCGAAGATATATGAACCGCACTTGTCAAATGAAGTGATTGATTCTATTGATATATATGTACATTGCACAAAAAACGATCGGTCTTTTATTTCAGATTCAAACAAGGCAGCTAAGTTTATCAAAGAGCTCAAAGCAAACATTTTGGGCAACATGTGCCATCTAACCACTCCCGGTGTAACTTGAAACTGTCAAAACTTCGAGAGGAAGGGGAAATTCCGTCTGTTCCCGCTCCGGTTCACTACGGGATCTCGTGAAAAATCTCTTTAGTAATGATGCCGGATCCTATTTTTGAACGAGGTACTAGAATCACTGAGCGAAAGTGGGCGTGGTTCACTTTAATGGTGATTGATTCTAGCAGCTGTTGACATATATGCCAAATAGATCTATGGATGTATCCACTTTCGGAAAAATAATAAGTTCCTGAGTGGTAGTAGTACTAGTAGTAGTAATAGTAGTAGTTTATTTACTCCATAATATAACAACAATAGCAACAATATAGAATAAGTAAATAAATATGCTTTAATCCACTAAAGGACAATGCCTATACATAGAGCAGTTGCATGGTGGACATTACAAAAGGTGCATATTTATGTAGAAGACGATGAGTTTTAATGAATATTTGACATGAGTTCAATTATAATGTCTTCCTATTGAGCATATCCATTTTGTTGGTTTATTTTTTCAACTATGCGTATTTCGAAATTGTTTTAAGTCTTTGGGTACGTGTTCATATGATTTCGGTTCTACATATCATTAATCGTTCTGTCACAAAGTTAACTTCATCATTAGGTATGAGACTGATGGACGACGGCGAGATTTCTGCACTTTTTCTCCCGATAATGATTCGGGAAGCCCTTATTCTGGGTGTTCGGAAATACCCAGTTGCTTTCATTTATTCCCCTCATTTCAAAAATTGACCTCCAGGGCATATGGAAGTTGTCCAGATATTATGTGAAGTCAATTATAAGAAAAAGAAAATTACAACCACCCTATTGAGCGGGGCCGTGGCAAATGCTTGTTCCGGAAGTTGTTGTTTCCAGTATACAACTTCTTCCCGTTCAAGTGATTGTATACGCGTTAAGGAATACCTCAGTACCGATTGCCGGGTGGCGGTACAAGTCCGCCAAGGGCCACTTTAAGTCTATTTAATATCATTAACACGCAAAAAGAAGGTGGTAGACAAGGACCAGTCGACCGAAGCGGTAGCACCCGCTAGCTTTTCCGAGGGTGTCTTATAAATATCCGCATGTTTCCACACCTAAGCTATGCAGTCTGTTATCTTCCAAAACAAAGAAATTAATGATGCTCGATCCCTCGAGTACTAAGAATTCGGGGCGCAAACTTACTCCACTCCGGGTGGAGGGTGAACTCGATGGAACAACATCGAAGATAAAATTTTGTTTCACGAACATCTGCGCGATTAACAGCAACATTGATGCTGTTCATCACTACTTGAAATTCAATCGCCCCGCCATACTTTTCTTGGCAGAGACAAAAATCTCAGAGTCCATCTTAGCTTCCCAAATTACGATTGGCACTCCAATCTGAGAAAGAACGGGGGAGTTGTGGCTTTTGTCCGTAGCAGTCTTATCTGTTCCAGAGATGTTTCTTTGGAATCAGACGGAAAGTACATTCTGTGGCTTCGCCTCAACTCCAAAACATCCCCCAAATTTATTTGCTGCCTTTATCGCTCTCTGTCGGACCATAACTGGGATGACCTAATTAAATACCTCGCCGTCAAGATCGACTTCCTGAACATCAATCACCCCGCGTCAAAGGTAGTTCTCCTCGGTGATTTCAATGCGCATAGTGAGCTTTGATTGGGCTCAAATAACACCGATGCAGCAGGCCGTACAGTTGAAGCATTCGCTCTTACTCAAGGGCTGACCCAGCTGGTGACGAGCCCTACTTTTTTCCCCGCGTCTCCTCACATGCCAGTAGCCTGCTGTGCTGGATCTCTTCCTGACCACGCATCCTATCCCTTACAGCACTGCTGACCTGTCCCCCCTGGGTAACTCAGGCCACAATATTGTGGAGGTTAGGTTTCGCTCAGAACCCCCTGTGACAAGCAGAAACTCGCACAGGCCGCAAAATTTGGCACTATGGGCATGCCGACTTGGAGGGGCTCAGAGACTTCTTCTCTATATTTCCTTGGAGAGATGTCTGTTTTACTGACGCGAATGCGTCGGCTGTCTGTTCTTCGATAACCGAAATTATACACGTCGGAATGGAGGAATACATCCCTCATATAGTGAAAGTGCCTAAACCAGGGTCCAACGGCTGGTTTAACAAATCGTGTGACACTGCCCGCCAGCAGAAGATCAAGGCACACAGAACGTTCTTACAAAACTCCACTGTAGAGAACAGAGAAGCCGACGTTGTGTCCAGAAACAAATATAACGAAGCGGTTCGCAGTGCCAAAAACCAGCACGATATAAAAGTTCGACACAGGGTAATGTCGCAGCGCAGTGGCAGTCGGACTTTCTGGACGCAGGCCAAGCAGATTGAAAAAAACTTCTCACACAGTAGCCTTTCATCACTTACGTGTCAGGATGGAACGATTTTGTCCGACTCAAAGGCCAACGCGGATGTGCTCGCCAAGATCTTTGCTGCCAACTTCACCAAGGACCTCGCCCCCAACGCTCAACTACTGTCAATTCAGCGGGTTCCCCACATTATGCGGGAAGTAACATTCAGGCATAAGACCATAAGACGAGTGCTCTTGTCGCTCGACATGAACAAAGCTTCTGGTCCGGACTTGATTCCTGTCATTGTACTGAAGAGCTGTGCAACGGAGCTTGCTGCAGTTCTTTCGCGTCTCTTCCAGATATCTTATGAATCCAGTACTTTCCCAGAAAACTTTGAATTTGCTCTTGTCCAACCCATCTCCAACAAAGGATCTAAGACCGACCGGTATAAAAAAATCTATAAAATCAACAGCTGTGAGGGGTTTCCACTGCTTGCGAATAGTGAAGACACCAGAACGTACGAAAGTTAAGTTATATATTATAGACCATAATTTCAATTTTATTAAATCAACAGTACTGTTTTTCACTAGTACTCGTTATAGTGTATGGTTTAATTTCAAGGTACAAGGCTTTTCATAGCCGTCGAATAATAAAGATATCAGGGTGTGCATACCCATAGTCCATTAATAGCCATTTGTCTTAAGGCTTTTTTTTTGTTTGTAAACTTTGTATATACTGTTTAATGAGGGTAATAAATATTATTATTATTATTATTATTATTATTATTATTATTATTATTATTATTATTTATCCAGTATCGAGGTGCAGTCGTTCTACTTGACGCCTCTTTTAAATTTATATATTCGAACATTTTCCATAAAAATATTTTTGTATGATTTGTTTTATTCAACTTATTAACTCAATTATCGATATTATCTACTTTGACACCATGACTTACCGTTCACTATCTCGTACTGTATCTTCCTGGGCACTCCCCTATCTCCATCTTCTGCATGCACTGTCATGACTAAGGTGCCAATTGGAGCGTCTTCACTAACTTCTGCCTCAAGTCCTCCTACGAAGTAAGGTGGGGTATCCTGCACATCTCCGACTTTCACTGTAGCATCCGTCATTGATGTTAATTGTCCATCCTGTAAGAATAAATCGTTATATTCTGGGACTGAATTAACTCTTGTTGGTATATGGGTGGGCCTAGCTAAAAATGAGTAATAGATTTCCAGATCAGCGCACAGGAAAAAACTGTCTCATGAGAAATTGGATGAAATATGTGGGATTTTATATTTTTACGTCAGAGGCAAAATGACCAAGGTAATTTTTGCTCAAATTGTAATATCATTACATGCGTGATCCTGTATCTTTTGTGAAGAATATGCAAGTATAGGTCTTTTCACAAAATAAGTAACGAGAGCGACTAATTGCACCATGTGCGGAACTTAACTTTCGTAGGAGAAATTTCGTACTGCCGAGTAGCCTTCCACCACATACGTGTCAGGATGAAACGATTGTAACCGACTCAAAGGATAAGTGCTCGCCAAGGTCTTTGCTGAAGTAACATTCAGGCATAAGACCGTAGACGTCGCTCGAAATCAATAAAGCTTCTGTTCCGGACTTCATACCTGCCGTTGTAATGAAGAGGTGTGCAGCGGAGCTTGCTCCACTTCTTTCGCGTCTCTTCCTTCCTTTCCAAACAACTGTAAATTTGCTCATGTCCAACCCGTCCCAAAAAAGGATTTAAGACTCACCCTTTCAACTACAGGACTATAGCTCTGCTTTCTGTTTTAAGTAAGGTGATGGGTAGGTGCATAAATCGCGAGCTTCTGGACTACCTCGTACGTCACGGCTTGATTAGCGACAGGCAGTATGGTTTCCGGCACTAGCGATCCACAGGGGACATCCTAGCTTAAGCCACGTAATTGTGGAGTAAACTCATCCAGTCTTATGGTGAGGCTCATGTCGTTGCTCTTGATATCATGAAAGCGTTTGATCAGCTGTGGCACGCTGCCCTCTTAGGCAAACTTCCATCCTATGACCCCCCAGAGAAGCTTTGCAGATGGGTGGCTGACTTCCTCTCTGGCCGCAAGATAGCCGTCGTAATGAACGGGTTCTCCTCTTCATCCCACATCGTCAACGCTGGTGTTACCCAGGGATCGGTCTTGGCCCCGACTTACATATCAATGACCTCCTTTCCTGTACGGCCGTCCCAATCCACAGCTTTGCTGATGACAGCACTCTCCTTGCAGGAATTCAGAGCGACAAGCCGATATCTGCCGCTGAGTTGGAAAAAAGAAGACTAGCGGCGACTTCTTCTCTGACGAGAGACCTGGAGGTTATCACTGCGTGGTGACACAACAGTCTTGTACAGTTTAATGCTTCCAATACACAGTACTGTATCTTGACGAACAAAAAGCGTCCTAGAACTCATCCGGTTTCTATGGATGGCCGAGTTCTGCCAAAGAGCCGTTCATTTCGGCTGGTCGGAATCCAGATAAACGAGGACTTGTCAATAGCGGCAGCTGCTGGGAAAAATTTAGTCTGTATATTGTTTCTGGCTAAGAAGTACTTTTCTCCGCATCACCTCCTCACTCTATACACGGCCCAGATAAGGCCTAGCATCTAGTATTGCTCACACCTTTGGTATGCTGCCGCCACGACTACATTATTTATGCTCGATGCTGTCTAGACGAGGGCTGTCCGACTGATCGATGACTCTTCTCTAACAGTCTTGGAACCCTTTCACACCGGCGACCTGTCGGCGATCTAGCTCTTTTCTACCGGTAAACCAACGGGCTTTGCTCCTCAGAGCTCCCCTCCATGATGCTGTCGCGCGATTTGCCTGCCAGACAGATCCACCTGATTTTGGCTTCCCATCCTAACCGTGCCGAACTTCGTACATCCAGAACTGGCCGATACGACAGGAGCGCCTTTGTCCCGCTCCCGAGAACAATCTACAAAAGGAAGCTTTTCACAGTTCTACTAACCTTAGGCAGTTCAACAATGGGATTAACAAATTTTTTTGGAATCCTCATAGCAGCCGCGGTGGCATGGCATTTAGGTTTGTATATATAAACAAGAACTGCACAAACCGATTTTAAACGTATCTGCTCTTGCGCACATGAGATTGGTAACAAAGAACCGTTGCTTTAATTTATTCTCTGAAAGTACTGGAATATATTAAGCAAAACTTCCGATATTGTCTGTTAGTTGTACTTTCATGGATTGTAGTTGGAGAGTCCGAGAGGCTAAATGTGAAGTTATTCGAGCGTCGTAGAGTCCTGCTGGGTTTTGAAGATTATATCGCAAAGCGAAAAAAATATTATATGATGAAGTGGGGTGAAAGAGTTTCATAGAAATACTTGAACGCGTCAAATATTGATATCCCCTATGCCCCACCTGTCAGATATTGGAGGTGTGTTAATCTGCGGATTTGTACCGGGTGGTCCATTAATAAAGGACTCCGGCTGTATCACGGCAACCAGTCACGCTAGAGCTATCGGTTAAGAAATCTACAATAAAAAATTATTTTCATCCAACTAGAGTGGCCACTAGGGCGCGTAACTCTAACCTCAAAATTGAAAATGCAATTTTTCTAGAACTTGAATTGCAATGGTATTTTTATTCTTCATTATTCTGAAAGAGCATGAAAAATCTTACAACTAATGCAAACCGCATGTCGTTATATTCATTCATTATCAAGTTTTTTCGCAAGTTTCTGACCCTCCTACTCCTTTACGTTACACTCAAACCCTCTAATTACTGAAATACACTTTTTTGGCATCTAGTTTACCCAGCTTCCTTATCCTTAGTCTGTCGAGCACAGGTATTTTCAGCCATCGATTTTTTTTACTATTCTCATCGACTGATCTAGACATATTGTATTTGTATAAAGGGTCTATACATAGGGTATTTCTAATTAGACCCTCACCATTGGGATCTCGGAAGCTGTAAAAGATACGAAGTCGCGTTAATGAGGGGAAAGTTGCGTATATTTAGGTAACTAACTTTCTGACTTTATGTGTAGTGTCATTTTTGAATAAATTGCACATTAACATCGCCACTTTTTCTCCTCTACAACATAGCATAATTAGAATTTTAATATGACGTTTTGTGTCTTGTCCTTCAGCATCAACTTATTTTTTATCTTATTTTTACGCCGCTGAATAGAGTTTTTAATTTTGATTTCAAAAATGTGTACATTGACGTTTCCAAATCTTAATTATTCTAGAAAAACAGGGTATGCCTTGAAATTATCAGATTTCATTGGTTTCGTATACCAGACCAGACCTCAAGTTGAACATAGTAATTTAGTTTGGAAGACTGAGAAGAATAGAAATAATTCGAGCAGTGAACAATGTATAGAGAAGAGTCAGAGTTTGCCTACAAAATAGCGAAAATCCACGTGTGACATTTTATTTCTAGTTTAAGTAGTACGTATATTATTTATAAGCTCATGCAGACCTGCGTACAAGGCAAGTCTTCTGCGGGTTTTTCATGATTATTGTTCTAAAATATGTCCTTTCTTGTTATCTGTTTATAGTTTGGACAATAAACATTATTATTATTATTTATCTCTACTAATTTATGATTCTTATTGTTGTTACCATCAATAAAAAAAATCACTTGTTTTCGTTCTAATAACAAATTCATGGCCATCAAAGCAAAATACATCACTGAATTTAGGACTGAAAAGTCCATTTAAATGTAAAAAATTCCAATATACGAGTAGTGTCCATATGAAAAAACAAAGTTGATGATGGAAGTCGGAAAAAGAAATGTCGAATTGAGAATTTTACTACGCCAACTTTTAGAGAAAGTGGCAATGACAAATTGCAATTTATTTTGAAATCTCATCTCAAATAAGATCAGAAAAAATAAAAATTATTTTGCGATAAATCTGGTATGCGAAACAAATGACCATCTAATCTAAATTTGAAACACTTACTAGGAAGTTCTGTTTTTTGGGAAAAACTAAGGTTTGGCAATGCCAATGTATGACGTATTATACATTATTGGAATCAGAATTAAACACTCTATTCACCTGTGACAATAGACGAAACGTCTTATTCAAATAAAGTCAGAAATAAATTAAAACGATTTTATTTAACAACAACAGCTACAAATACTGAATATCATTATCATAAATAGTAATAAAGAGTTATAAAAACATTATGAAATCCAAAATTAAACATTTCCCCATATTCCTTGAGTGGTCCAGTGATATGCAATTAAGTGGACTTTTTTTCTCGAAAACTAAGCAAGATACGAAAAACATTCAGGAGACAAAAAAGTTGTATTTCCATTTGCTCGCTCTAAGCAGCATAAAAATTGTACAAAAGTCAGGGGCGTACTTTTTTTTGTTAAATATCGTCGCTGATCTGACAAATGGGCGTAAGCGACACAATCTCTAAATAGGAGATAAACCACTGAGAAACTCTCGAGGGGTATACCTATGTTCTGAAAGATGGACGTATCTCCATCGCTCATACCACGGAGTATACATCATAGTCAGTAAGGACGGAAGCGACATCAATAGAAGATAGGGAATCTGGCTAAGAGGCGTAAATCCATAAATGGACATACGCCTGTTCGTCACATCATCTATTGCGCTTTAGTGTCGCTTTCGCCCGTAGTATGTAACTGTGATAACCATAGCCACCTATATCTAACGTAGTTTTAGGTGGCTATGGTGATAACCGATACTGTTGCGCCATCTCCTGCATGTTTACGGGTTTTCTAGAACGTCTAGGTATCCCCAGTTATCATAACAGATGGTGAGGTGTATGTTTAAGTGAAAGTTGAAAGTCTAAACTTAAGGTAAGCACATTTTTGTTGACTTAAAGTAATATATTATTTGAGATAAACATGCGTCGTGGTTTGGTGCTTCTGACATTTATAGTTGAAATGTGAGGTTTTGAACGATTTACAACCTAGGAAACAAAAACTGCTTGTGTTATCTTTGGAACGAAATTAATAGTAAACGAGGATCCAACGAAATATCAACATGCGTGGCAAACTACCTTATTCAGCTGGATACCCAGGGAATAAAAGAAGTGAGACTATTTGCAGATGGTTGTGGTGGCCAAAATAAGAACACGATTGTTTTAGCCATGTTGCTGCACACCATAACCAATACCAAAAACATTAAAAAAATATCATTATCTTTCTTCGAAACAAATCACGGCCAAAGCGAGGGCGACTCTGCCCACAATTCTATTTCGACAGCTTTAGCCTTAGCAGGAGATGTCTTTATTCCTGCTCAGCTTCCTCCTATTCTTAAATTGGCAAGACGGAATTCTCCATACACTGTCATCCCTATGGAAAATGCTGACTTTCTGGATTACAAGTTTGTGGCTGAACAACTCCGCATTCGACAACTGAGAAAATTTGACACGGGGGAAAATGTTAATTTCGCCGCAATCAAGGAAGTAATGGTAAAGAAAGATGTTCCGCAACTGTTTCTAAAAGCCAGTCATCTGGCTGATCAGTATAACACATTATCTCTGAAAAGAAACACTCTTGAAGTCCTGAAACAGCCGGTACGTAGACTTAATAATGGTCCAATTAAATTAGACAGCCTGAAATACGAAAACCTTGTTGAGCTATGTACTGGACCTACACCCATAGTGCGAGATCTAACGTTTCAACAATACTTCAAGAACCTCCCGCATCATTAAACACCTCAGTTTTTTATAATTTGCATACATCCTCTGTTTAATTACTATATTTTGAAGTTTTCTTTGTTTAAATAAAAATGTCATTAATGATAGGAACCGTTGTGTATGTTTAGAATTACTAATGAAAAAGGGCGTAAGTGACATACCTCTGTAAAGTAACTCTGATGAACGGGCGTATGTCCAAAGTGGCCATTTTGTAGGACAATATCGTGCGAGCTTTGCAATCACGTTATGACAGATTGAAAGTGTCCCTGATGATTCACTTTGATACAAAATTGTAAAAAAATATCGTTGCTAGTTACAGAATCATCAACTCATCTAAGATACATATTTTCCTAAAATCGCTCTACTGTAAAATTATGTTACTGGCGCTTACGTCCATTTGTCAGAACAGCGACGATATATTCGTTTGCGGACCTATGTTTATATGAACTTTTTGTCTTAAAATTACTCAAAGATTCGTCTGTTAAATTTATGGTACATACTTAATTAACACCCTGTATAATAAGCTGGAAACCTTGGAATGTCAACTGACACAGTGACAAAAGTGAGGTAATGTAGGATGACAAGATAAAAGTAAGAGTCAAGTTGAAAATGTCAGTCAGTACACTACTACTTTCCTAACTCTTAGTTACGGATTATTCATCTTTTTAACCCATCCAAACTTCTGCTCCAAATGCCTTAATACCCCACCAAAAATCGCAAACAGATACTCTGTTTTTCAATTAGACAACGAGAAAATGTTAGAATGTATTTCCAAAAAGAGCATTATAAAAGACCCTAGATTGCATTTTTTCTATCGCTCATTTTTCCGTGAAAAATGAGCTAATATGTTTAACAAGATATTTAATCAGCAGCCCTAGTAAAACTTTTAGACCTGAAACCCCCATGAGAAAGGCAGTTTCATTTTGACAATTTACACTGTCTCACTCACGTTTATTAGTCTGTCAGCCGACAGTCCCTTCATTTCAAATCATTCAACGTTTCCCACTGCATGCACGGTTTGACGTCAGTGCCTACTGCCCATTCAAAGAGAATGTGAAATTTTTTTTTGGCTATATAGTTTTGTACGATATTAAATTACGATATAAGCAGTATTAAAAAAACTTATTTGGACTAGTTCTCTATTAGTACAAACCGTAGCTCTGAGTCCAAATCTATACTTCTTCTTTTCTGCATAACTGAGCTTCCGCTTGAGCTTAATCACGCCATTGTAAGTGTTCAGCTCAGACAACAGAGGTTCTATTTTGAAGTTGTCACAGGCGAAAGGATCCTCTGGATATACGAAGCACTCCACTTCTATGTTGCTACCAGCTGTGTCTATGTCTGTTACGGAGATGCCTGTGAAAACGGTTAAACCTGGTTCTGTGTCTTCTGGGATTGTGAAGTCGTACGGTGTCTGCGAATCAGAATATTTCGTGATTGAAGACTGAGTTTTGTCTTCTTTAGAAGATAAGACAAGACGTCGCATTTTATATATTAGAAAAACTAAACACAATTATAAATTACGACGTTTGCAAATGTTCAAGTCATTCGTTAAAATATGTACTAATAACAAGGAAATCATCTTAAACGTATCAAATAGTCTTCAATAGGATGAGCAGTTTTGAAATGGTTGTTTTGAAACATATATTGAAGAGTATGCCAATTTTCTCATGTACAATTCATGCTAGATAGATCCGTCTATCGGTCTGTCGTCGATAACTTATTCCTCACAGTATATAATTTTAATTACGGGTATATTTATATTTGTTAAGTTACTGATTGATCATGGGCGCGGGTAAAGTTTTAAGGCAGTTTCTTTAAACACCTTTCCTTATGTTACAAGTTAAGGCATATGAAGGCATTTGAAGGTAATTTCAAGGTCAACTCCAGGACTATTTTAAAATAAGTTTAGCATTCGAGTTCAGACGCGTGTCATATTGGTTTCTGTGGTCGTTTAGTGCAAATCAGAGATCAGTTTGTATTTAAGAACATATTTGGAATGAATAGGGGTATCGAAAAGAGAGAAACAGTTTTTATTTTTTTGTTTCTTGCCCGTAGCCCCACCACCACCAAGCGGGATTTTCAAAATTATACAAGGGCCAGAGATTAGCGGACAGTCAGACCGACAGATAGACAGTGAGACAGACAGACCGATGGGAATGATTGACATGGTTTTTCGCGTTGCACATATTATGTAAGATGAAAAAATCGGATCTTTCCAACAAGCAATTCCTAATCATCAGACTGTCAAATACAGCCATCCAAATAAACTAGTGATATGATGTTGCCTACTTACAGGCTGAACTCATATGCTCTACAGTAAATGACCGTTCTGAATTGTTAGAAAAGAACCGAATAATTTCATTTTCTAAATTTTTCGCGATTACAATGCTTCCTCGCTAGTTGGTGTGGAAAGTAAAAGCATGCATTTAGAGCCCACTAAACAAGTGTGTTACATGAACATCATTTTTATGTAAAACGTATACCCTACATTTTACATAATTTTTGTTAGATTGAATACATCGATCTCACATTTATGTAATATTTATGTTACTGAGTGTGGTGAGTCTATAGCTTAATTAGGATGTAAGGATTATGTAGGGCATGGTATATAATATTAGCATTTTTTTGTTATATAGGGTGTTTGAAAAATAGACGAAGATATTTCAGAGGGTAATTCCCTGTTAAAAAATATGAAAAAAAGTTTTTATAAACATTGGTCCGGAAATGCAGAGTTTTCAAGATACAGTGTGAAAACTCTGAAAAAATCATTTTTTTATTAATAACTTAAAAAATATTCACTAGATTTTGTTTAAATTTGGCAATATTATTTGTTGTATTAAGAGGCTAATTCAGCCCTAAATAGACTAAAATTATTAGGTCCAGTGGCGTCCCGGGGGCACCTTAGTGAATATTATTGTCAAAAAATGTGCGCCACTGCCTTTTTTGTAACTTTAATATTTACTGTTTGATTAAGCATCTAAAAATACAACTTCTTTGCCTCTTGTATTTTTTCGTATCTCTCAAAAAAAAAAACAGTTTTATTGCATGTCAATGTACAACATTGGTTTATTAATTTTGTCTCAAAAAATCACAAATAGCTTGGAAAACAAACAATTAAAAAAATTCCAAGGAAAGATTGTTATTGCAATTTTCCGAATAGGTACCATGACATCAAGTACACTACAACAAATTAATATTTTTTTTCAAATTTATCACCCTTGAAAACTCTCCATTTCCGGACATTCTAAAATATCGTATATTTTTCGAACACCCTGTATTCCATCTAGGCAAACAATTTCTGTCAGTGTTCGTGGTAGGTATTGATGTTGGCGGTAAGGTAATATTGTCAGTTTATATTAATAATTTATAATAATGCTATTTGACCAAGAAATTCTGAGAATTATTACATCAAGGTGCATTTTAATATTTTGATGGCAGACATAAATTATCATAGTTACTGAATATTGTTGTGGATACTGCTCAACTTTTTGTTTGTTTGAAAAAAATCCGATTTTTTGTATGAGCTTTGATAGTTCATTAAACATGAGGTGAAATTTGAACATATGGCAACATTGGTTTGCTAATGATTTGTCTAGTTCTCTGCTCCTGATGTCGTGTTCGTGATTTGTGAAAACACTTTCTAAGCTCATAGTAGGAACAGGTAGGAATTAAAATACAGCCACAATTAGACAGTATAAGCATAGTAAGTGCAACGCACACATAACATCACTCATATATTATTATAAATAATAGTACTGTTTCTATATCAAAGTTATATGCTGTATCAAAACAGCCTGAACTCCAACCTTTGCTTAATCAATGATTGTAGATGTTTGCAGAACATGAGTAACACCTCATACTCGACTAACAACTTTCAGGTGAACTTCATCAAATCTATAGGAGGCAAAGATGCAAAAGACTTTTGCCTTGAACCCCTCAACTTCATAAAATGCTTGCTAGGTATGGAAATTGTGTTTATATCTGTATCTCACATCCAGACTAGGTTAAGTCCATTGTTGCCTAAAATAAGTTTTATATGTTAAATTCGTGATATTTTTAATTTTTGTCTGCTGTTTACAGCGTCAATCTGTAAAAATTAGAAAGTGACAACTTTATAAATTAACTCAACATACAATACAAAAGATAAATATTCAAATTGCAATTATGTCAATACCACTTATTTGGACTTAAGCTGAGCTACAGATATTAACACATCCGTTGAAAAATCGGTTTTATATATATTACAACATTTCAAATCATTTTGTATTTGTTTGATTTTGTTTCGATTGTTTTCAGAGACCATAACACGTACCAATGAGTACAATGTGGAAAATGCTATGAGTGAGGGGCTCTGACTTAGTAAACAGAGAATAAAGATGAATCGGGCAGCTTCATTAAGTTGTGTAAATAATGATACTGTTTTCCGTATTTGTAGATGTATTGAAATGCATATTTATGTATTCAGAATTTTTTGTTGAGACTAAAAAGATGAATTCTCTAAATTTTGCATTCCGCCTTCTAACATAATTTACTTTATATCATTTTGTCTGAAATTGCTGTACAAATAATTTTCACTCATTTAGGTTACTAATGTGAATCTTTTATTTGCGGAAATTTATGACACAGTTTGTATACCCTGTTTTAAGTAAATTGCTGTTAATACACTTAGTTCCCGATACTTAACCTGTCTTGTATGCTAATTCTATTTCATTCAAGCGATCAATAAATAATACCACTGAATTGATGGAAAAAAGTTAACTACTGCTTCAGATACACTGGTACTCTTTTATTCATCCATCAATAACAATTTTTTTAATGGAATGGAATAAATGGCAGTGATATATGTATGTAACTATTATATTCTGGTAGAGATAAAGTAACTGTAATTACATAAATACTACATGCATAGAGAAGTAAACTGTTCTGGACATTTTCAACAGTTTTTAAGTTAATTGTTACCTTACTTGGCTTTAGTGTTTCACTTTATTTTTACATAACCAGTAGCAAAGAAATATAACATTAGAGCAAATTTATACATCTATGTTTAGTGGGAGGTTAGACCAAATGACCACGAAACTAAAATAGGACTATGAAAAAATAGTTTAACCTTTGCGTGATTTCAGCACTTACATTTTGAAACTGTGGTTCATTATCATTTTCGTCTGAAATGATCACAGTAATGGGTACTTCAACGATGTTGTTCTTTCCGTTTTCAACCTCGTCTTCAATGCTGATCACCACATTTAACGTTTGGTTTTTCTGAAAAAATATAAGAGCATTTAAGTAGACAAAAGGACGAAATAACAGATTTTTGTGAAACTAAGGGCCGTATCGTCAGTCATTCCTACAATAATTGTATGACTTGTATGGCCTCCTTGATTTCCATAGCCTTTTCTCGCCTTCAGAAAGGCTGTTGTATTTCTATATTTCTACCGTTCTGTCCGCGTCAGCTCTCTCCTACTGTAAACTTATGTTTTCGTTTTGAATCGTAGGAAATTTCAGGCTGATAACACAGATAATATAGAAGACAAGCATGGACAATTTGTTGCAAATGGATATTTGTGACATAACCTTCAAAATAGAGCGCTGACACGGAACATTAGAGAACTATGAAAATCAAGGGTGCCATAAAGGCCTCCTACAATAATTGTATGACGCCTTTATGGCCCCCATGATTTTGAAAGTCCCTTTTCTCCTCTAGAGGGACTGAGGTATTTTTAGATTTCTACTGGTCCGTGTCATCGTCAACGCTCTCCTGTTGTGAGGCTAGGTTTTCTTTTTGAAATGTAGAAAATTTCAGGCGTCCTACAATAATTTATTGTAGGAACGACTGACGATACGGCCCTAAAGTATTCAACAAATTGAATCATCAGCTGCTCCTTGCTAAATCGGAGTGTTTAGGCTTTGATAATATATTTATATCGTTCTTCACGGAATATTTGACTAGTCGTTCTAACTCTACTAATATCATATCTGGTGTTCCACAAGGGTCTGTTTTGGGACCCTTATTATTTCTAATATGTTGCCCATTTGCCTTCTATAGTAGCTAACTCTACAATATAGTCATTCGCAGACAATTTTCATAGTCTTTTCTAAGCTTCGAAAAAGCTGAGCTCTAGATTTTTACTGTTCTGTGTCAGGGTCAGCGATCTCCTGTTATGAAGCTATGTTTTCTTTCTTGAATTGTAGGAAATTTCAGGCTGATATAACAGATCAAATAAATCAAAAGCATGAACAATTTGATGGGTATATATATATTTGTAACATAGCCTCAAAACAAAGCGCTAACACGTAGAAAACTATGAAAATAAAGGACGCCATAAAGGCGTCCTACAATAATTGTACATCTTTATGGCCTCCTTGATTGTCATAGTATTTCCTCTCCCTTAGAAAGGCTGGGATATTTCTAGATTTCACCTGATCCGTGTCAGCGTAAGCGCTCTCCTATTGTGAAGTTGTATTTCCTTTTTGAATTGTAGGAAATTTCAGGCTGGTAAGACAGATGATATAAATCAAAAGCACGAACAATTTAATGGAAATAAACCTTACTTCACGAGTGTCCATCACGCTTCGATGTCAACTGACGTGAGCAGCTGATAACCAAGAATGACATTTTTGTAACGCAACGTTGGCAATAATGAATAGGTTATAAATCTAGAATAACTTGTTTGTGGCGTTTTGTTTTTTGTATGTAAATGAACTCTTCTAAATAAAAGAGCTGTTGGCAAGTACATGTATGTGTCCCGTGCTGATATGTGGAATATTGAGATATTACTAGATAATCAGCCGCCATTCTACCGTGATGGATACTCGTGGAATAGGGTACAGATATTGTGACAGATACTCAAGACAGAGCGCTGATTTAGAATAGAAGAAAACTATGAAAATCAAGGATGCCATAAAGGCGTCCTACAATTGTTGAAACGACTGACATATCGTCCCTTAGGCCCGTATCGTCAGTCGTCCCTACAATTGTAGGGCGCGTTTATGGCCTCCTTGATTGTCATACTCCTTTCTCTCCTTCAAAAATTTCTAGATTACACTTGTCCCGTGTCAGCGTTGTAGGAAATTTCAGGCTGATAAAACATGATATAACTCAAAAGCAAGCACAATTTGATGCAAATAGATGTTTGTGACATAACCTCAAAATAGAGCGCTGACACGGAGAAGTAGAAAACTATGACAATCAAGGAGGCCATAAAGGCGCCCTACAATTGTAGGGACGACTGACGATACGGGCCTAAGACACAAGAATGCTACTATGCCAAGCTCGAAAATGGAGTCAAGTAGATTGACTCTGCATATCCCATCCTAATAAATAAATACATTTTTCGCAAACATTTTGGTATTTGTAATCTTGTTTTTGCTGTTTTATTTACGTAATGAAAAGATTTCAACAGAAAACTGACATTTTTCCCTTCGGCTAGGTTTAAATATTGAGAAAGTAATATGTTACAGTTGGGTAACAAATGGCCGATCTTTACCCACCTCCATACATAATTTTTAGTACAGCTGTAAGAATCCGGAGTAAACCCTTGAAATATCAAAATTATTATCAGTCACAGTATGAGTAAAGTCTGTAAAGGAGGAAATAATAGACATAAACCACGTTCGCCCAAGAAATAAAGTAGACGTAAGCAATTATCGATGCGTGATCAACGCATGATGTGCACTTGAACGGTAGCTGTCTATCTGACGGGCACCTCGCTATTGGCTAGCAATGACGGGCCTCCACCTGACCAATCAAAGGACGCGCTTGGCCAGGGGGCCATCTCGTGTCCTGGGCTTTGCGCCCGTGTTTCGTCATGCACAGGATCGTAATCGGTGAATGATACTTGTTTGGCAGGTGCGATTCGCTAAAATTATGTCTGGCACGCATACAGCTGACGAAGTGGTTGTGATAGATAGATAGATGCAAGAAAATGCTGATTTGACTGTGGAAGAGGTTGTGAGTAAGGTCGGTCGAGTGTATAGAGAATTATCAAAGAACATAGAAATATCTATTCACTTTCTGATCCAAAGCCCTACTATAGCTTAGATAACATCAAGAACTAGAAATATTTTTATTTTTAATGTAAATACTTTCATCAGTACGAAATTACTTCAGAACTTTTTCATAAATAAATAGTCATGAATACTTCGTCACTTCTGTTTGGACAAACATATTCGTTTTTATTATTGGTTTACACATTCTACACCAGATTATACCGGAATAGTATAATTTTGACGATTACAAATATCTGCGGCCTCTGGCAGGGTTCGTGGTAACACCGGCGGCTGCTGAGCACTAAAACCTCTTTCATAGTTGTACTGGGGGAATTAACATTCGCATTAGCTGATTGTTATCTAAGCTGTGGTGTTGCCTTTTCCATCGCTGGGATATGCGATCCTAGTAAGCAACATGAATGTGAGGATGGACATTGTAAATGAACATCTAAATACAGCATATGGTCGGGAATCTTCTTAGATAATGCGTTAATCAATTATAGGACCAAGGTTTCAACAGAAATTATTTTAGGTGGTTAGCATTATCAATCGTACCTCATAATCCAGTGATTTAACGACGGTGACCTCCCCCGAAGTATGATTTACTTGGAGTACGTCGGTCCCGTGGATATTGTATTTGACAGAGCTATCTTCTGGGTCGTTACCTTCCAGACGGTAGATCACTGTACCAACCGGCGTCGATTCAGGAATGACCACGTTGTTCATGTCCATCGTGAAGATGGGGGGCAGGTTGGCCAAACATTCTCGAACTGAAACAAGATGGACACAAATTAAAAGTTTGTCACCATTAGATTACTAAGGCATTTCAGCGGCAAAAATGGGAAATTGAAGTTAAATAAAAGATAATGAAAAAATTTATGTTTTTCTATTCATTCTATATTATTTTTATTTTACTGCAGATACTAATGCGCCGTGACTGGTATAAGTAGCTTGAATCCACCTTGTTGATTTTTTTTGGAACAACCTAAGATTACCATAAATTGGAAACCCCTCCTCGGGCAGATTTTTCCACAATCTCGGTTCCCTAGGAACGACGGAGCAGTCGTTTGTCATCGATCAGTTAAAGAACCCTCTTCTAAACATGATCAAGTGTGGACATCTAACTAGCAAATACATTTTATAATTTTGGACTGTCGATAAACTTACTCAGTCACTTATATTTTATACTTAGATATTGCTACATATTGCAATTATATTCACTACACACGCGGCCGGTTATAGCCACTTGCTGTGGTAATTTAAGCCCAAAGGATCTACAAGGAAAATAATGGGCTTGAAGTACCACAGCAAGTGGCTATAACCGCCCGCGTGGTTGTGGCTAGTTGTCGCCTTCAAAATTTGAGGTCTTCTAGCCATTTTATTCTGCAATGTGTAGGTTGGCTCTTGTTTTTTTTTTTTATATCGAAACAGCCGCGCAGGCAGAAGCCTAAATGCCGGAACACCGCGGCTGCTATGATGATCCCAAATAAATTTTGTTAATACGATTTTTGAACTGCCTAAGGTTAGTAGAACTGGGAAAGGCTTCCTCCCGTAGATTGTTCCACAATCTAGACACCCTTCGGACAAAGGAGCGGTCGTATCGACCAGTTCTGGATGCACGAAGTTTGACACGGTTAGGATGGGACGCCGAAGTCAGGCGGATCTGTCTGGCAGGCACATCGCGCGGCGGCATCATGGAAGAGAGCTCTGCGGAGCAAAGCCCGCTGGTGTAGCGATAGAAAAGAGCTAGATCGCCGACGGCCCGCCGGTGCGAAAGAGTCCCGAGACTGTCTGTTAGAGAAGAGTCATCGATCAGTCGGACCGCCCTCCTCTGGACAGCATCGAGCATGGACAATGTAGTCGGGGCGGCAGCACCCCAAATGAGTGAGCAATACTCGAGGCTAGGCCTTATCTGGGCCTTGTATAGAGTGAGAAGCTCATGCGGAGAAAAGTACTTCTTAGCCCTAAACAAATAGCCCCCCAGCAGCTGCAGCTATTGACGAGATGTGTTCGTGCCAGATCAGGTCCTCGGTGATCTGGACTCCGACCAGCCGAAATTAATGGCTCTTTGGCAGAACTCGACCATCCATCGAAACTGTATGAGCACTAGGACGCTTTTTGTTCGTCAAAGTACAGTACTGTGCTTTGGAAGCATTAAACTGTACAAGACTGTTGCGTCCCCAAGCAGTGATAGCCTCCAAGTCTCTTGTCAGAGAAGAAGTCGTCGCTAGTCTTCTTTTTTCCAGCTCAGCGGCAGAGATCGGTTTGTCACTCTGAATTCCTGCATGTAGAGTGCTGTCATCAGCGAAGCTGTGGATTGGGTTGATCGTGCAGGAAAGGAGGTCGTTGATATGTAAGAGAAACAGTGTTGGAGCCAAGACCGATCCCTGGGGAACACCCGCGTTGACGTTGTGGGATGAAGAGGAGAATCCATCAATTATGACGGATATCTTGCGGCCAGAGATAAAGTCAGCCACCCATCTGCAAAGCTTTTTTGGGAGGCCGTAGGATGGAAGTTTGCTTAAGAGGGCAGCGTGCCACAGCTGATCGAACGCTTTCGTGATGTCAAGAGCAACGACATGAGCCTCACCATGAGACTGGATGAGTTTACTCCACAGTTGCGTGACGTAAGCTAGCAGGTCCCCTGTGGATCGTTGGTGCCGGAAACCGTACTGCCTGCCGCTAATCAAGCTGTGACGTTCGAGGTAGGCCAGAAGCTCGCGATTTATGCACCTCTCCATCACTTTACTTATAACAGAAAGCAGAGCTATAGGCCTGTAGTTGTAGGGGTCGGTTTTAGATCCTTTTTTGGGATGGGCTGTACATGAGCAAATTTCCAGTTTTGTGGGAAGGTGCCGGATTCATAAGATATCTGGAAGAGACGCGAAAGAACTGGAGCAAGCTCCGCTGCACATCTCTTCAGTACAATGGCAGGAATCAAGTCCGGACCAGAAGCTTTGTTGATGTCGAGCGACAAGAGCACTCGTCTTACGGTCTTATGCCTGAATGTTACCTCCCGCATAGTGTGGGGAACCCTTTGAATTGACGGCGCTTGGGCGTTGGTGGGGACGTCCATGGTGAAATTGGCAGCAAAGGTCTTGGCTAGCACTTCCGCCTTGGCCTTTGAGTCGAATACAATAGTTCCATCCTGACACGTAAGTGGTGGAAGGCTACTGTGTGAGAAGTTCTTTTCAATCTGCTTGGCCAGCGTCCAGAAAGACCGACTGCCATTGCGCTGCGACATTACCCTGTGCCTAACTTTTATATCATGCTGGTTTTTGGCATTGCGAACTGCTTCGTTATATTTATTTCTGGACTCGACGTCGGCTTGTCTGTTCTCTACAGTGGGGTTTTGTAAGTAGGTTCTGTGGGCCTTGATCTTCTGCTGGCGAGCAGTGTCACACGATTTATTGAACCAGCCGTTGGACCCTGGTTTAGGAACTTTCACTGTGTGAGGGATGTATTCCTCCATTCCGACGTGGACAATTTCGGTTATTGAAGAACAGACAGTCGACGCATCCGCGTCAGTGAAACAGACATCTCTCCAAGGAAAGCTAGAGAAGAAGTCTCTGAGCCCCTCCCAGTCGGCATGTCCGTAATGCCAAGTTTTGCGACCTGTGCGAGTTTCTGCTGCCACAGCGGCTTCTGACTGAAACCTAACCTCCACAACACCGTGATCTGAGTTACCCAGGGGGGACAGGACAGCAGTGCTGTAAGGGGCAGGATGCGTGGTCAGAAAGAGATCCAGCAGGCTACTGGCGTGTGACGAGACGCGGGGGAAAAAAGTAGGGCTCGTCACCAGCTGGGTGAGCCCTTGAGTAAGAGCGAACGCTTCGACTGCACGACCTGCTGCATCGGTCTTATTTGAGCCCAACCAAAGCTCATTATGGGCATTGAAATCACCGAGAAGAACTACCTCTGAAGCGGGGTGATTGATGTTCAGGAAGTCGATCTGGACGGCGAGGTATTCGAATAGGTCATCCCAGTTATGGTTCGAGGGAGAGCGATAAAGGCAGCAAATAAATTTGGGTGATGTTTTTTAGTTGAGGCGAAGCCACAGAATGTCCTTCCGGTCTGATTCCAAAGAAAGATCCCTGGAGCAGGAAAAACTGCTGCGGACAAAAGCCACAACTCCCCCGTTCTTTCTCAGATTGGAGTGCACCTCGTAGTTTGGGAAGTTGAGATGGTTAATCGGCGCAGTCTCTGAGATTTTTGTCTCCGCCAAGAAAAGCACGGCGGGACGATTGGATTGCAGGTAGTGATGAACAGCATCAATGTTGCTGTTAATCCTGCAGATGTTCGAAAAACAAATTTTATCTTCGATGTTGTTCCCTCGAGCCCACCCTCCACCCGGACATTCCGAGAGTGGAGTGAGTTTACGTCCGGTAAACTGTTGTGGACTTCGAGTGTCATTTTTTCCCTCTCCATCTTCCTCAGGTTACACCCGTATACGGGTGTATGGGTATGTGTATTTACTTTTCTAGTTACATATGTGCATTCATTTCGGGCCTGATGAAGCCAAGCAGCAGAAATACGTATCGCTCGGGTTACATATCCTATTTTCTGCTCGAATCCACTTTTCTTCTTTTTGCGGATTTTGCCCATTACTTTACTATTTTTTGATATATATATATATATATATATATATATATATATATATATATATAAATTACCTCTCTGACACAGCTAATAGATATACAGTAGAGAAAAAAAGTTTTGAAACATTCTTAGTAATGTTTAAAAAGTGAGCTAATTTTTTAATCTCTATTAAGGACTATTTTTTTTCTCATATAGCTTGCTCACAGTTTTAAGGATACAAATGACAATTTGTGTTTGCTGTGGTACTACAGACTGGCATCAAAATACATATTTTTTATTACAAAATTAAATACAATAACTCTACTAAAAAATTAAAAAAATACTGTTTAGCTAATATTTGGTAGCATAGCCAGCATTCAACACTGCCATCTGCTGCTCATAGAAGACGTTTGTTGGGATGTTTTGCCAAATATTTTTTACATAATCAAATAAATCGTTCCTATTTTTAAAAGTTTTTCTTGCCAGTTATCTTTTAACATGCTCCCAGAGATGTTCTATAGGGTTTATGTCCGGGGATTGCGAAGGCCATGCCAGTACATTAACATTTTTTAGTCTTAACCAGTACTTTAAGAATTTTGAGGTATCATTATTTTGCTGGAATGTCCATCGTAAAGGCATTTCTTCTTCAGAAAGGGAGTATGTGTTCACTAAGAATATCTTTTCTTTAAGTTTTTTTTGTCTCTTAAATCTTTTGAAAATTCTTTTACTTTTACCATTTATATTTACCGCACGCAATATAGTCTAATCATATAATCAAATTTCCTTGAAATAATTGTAAAGTCTGGTTTAATTGATCCAAGTTGTTCAAGGGGGTATTTAAAACATAGACGCATAAAATGGGTACACCAATTTTTGTAGGAAAACTTTTTATTCGACAACAAAGAACGAGAAAACGTATTTTTTGGGATTCAATCGAAAGGGTTGGCAGGAACCAAGAAAATCTTCAAATAAGATTTTTAGGTATTTATACGTAAAAAGATTCGACTAATAGTAAAAAAGTTATGGCCAAAAATCGAGGAAAAACGCAGGTTTTGGCACTTGCTGCTGATGCGACGATAATTTCACGCAGCTACTGAAATTCTTCAAATCCGTAGACTTCGTACTTCTAAGTAACCATAATAAATTGGAGTCGATTGGTCAAGTAGTCTTTGAGCAATTTACAGGGTTCAATCAAAGGGCATTTTATAGTAAAATACACGAATTTACCTTGCCGACATAAATCACAAACCATTCCAAAAGATAATTGTTGTTTTTATGAGAAAAACGAAGGGTTACGTTTTTTTCTTCTAAACAAATTCAAACATTTCATATTTGTGAATAATTGATCAGATTCGCTACGACATTCGAAAAACATACGTTATTATACACATTTTAAAACAAAGCGGATGTGTCCATCACCTTTGTTGCGAAGAAAACAAATTCTTTTCAAGAATTCTTCATACACTTGTGTATTCATATTTAGAGCTGAAACTTTTACACGGTCACAGATGAGCCATAAAGTTTATAAAAAAAAATATTTCACACTGAAATCCGCTGATCTGTTTATAAAGTTAGTATGCAAACTGAAGACACAATTATGTTTCAAACTGTCTTAGACTAGTTAGTATGTAGCATGTGCTAAATAGCTGCATTATTGATGACTGCATGACTTTGTCAAATAAGTAGGTCACGTAATCCAGTTTCTTTACGAAGAAATATAGTCCTCTTGGCCTTTTTTCTAAAAGTATTAATATATTACACGTCTGTTTTCGAAATCTCGTACGATTAAAACGACTGCGATTTCAAAATACTGAAAAATAAACTCGAGATAACGAAAAAACAGTGGACAAAATTAGGCAAAATGCTCGTTATTAGTATTAGTATTAATACACTATTTTTTACTTCAGCATTGTATCTTGCATAGTTTTCAAGAGTATTCTAATTGTTTAAAACATATTTGACATGCCTCCAACGTTCGCTTTACATTTGTCAGAGTCAAGTGTAGTGGTATAGAGATCCAGTAAACCAAGAGGCGTCGTAGCGTAATGGGCGATTGCTGAACCGCAGGACGGAGGTTCAAATTTTTTTATATCACTTTGATGAAATTACAGAAAGACTATGTCGGATCATAGCAGATAATTTTTCTGTGATCTGTTACCGTGTAAAAGTTTCAGCTCCAAATATGAATATACAAGAGTATGAAGAAATCTTGAAAAAAATTGTTTTCTTCGCAACAAAAGATGATGACACATCCGCTTTGTTTTAAAATATGTACAGTAACGGAAGTTTTCGAATATTGTAGCGAATCTGTTCAATTACTCACAAATACGAAATGTTCGAATTTGTTTAAAAGAAAAAAACGTAACCCTTCGTTTTTCGCATAAAAACAAAAATTATCTTTCGGAATGGTTTGTGATTCATGTCGGCAAGGTAAACTCGTGTATTTTGGTATAAAATGCCTTTTGAACGAACCCTGTATATTGCTCAGTAAACTAGTAGTGTTGGCCGGAAGACAGGTGTTTTGGAATAAACAATAAGAAAATCTGGAAGACTACTTGACCAATTGACTCCAATTTTGTTGTGGTTACTTAGACGTATGAGATCTATGGATATGAAGAATTTCAAGTAGCTGCGTGAAATTATCGTCGGATTACCAGCAGGTGCTAAAACCTGCATTTTGCCTCGTTTCGCGGCCATAACTTTTTTACCATTAGTCAGATCTTTTTACGTGTGAACTCATTCTGAAGGTCTCATAAATAAGTAAAAATCTTATTTGAAGAGTTTTTTTGTTTCCTGCCAACACTTTCGATTGAATCCCAAAAGACACGTTTTCCCATTCTTTGTTGTCGAATAAAAAATTTTCCCACAAAAATTGGTGCAGCCATTTTATGCGTCCATATTTTAAATGCCCCCTTGAACAGCTTGCATCAATAAAACCAGGCTCTACAATTATTTCGCAAACTAGAGGTATTTTCGTCTAATATCATTAGACTAATATCAGAGTATCGCAGAATGCATAAATACGGAAAAACTGGTATGTTTCCATACTTTTGGCGTTACAAAAACTGTAGTATTTAAAACGGGTGTTTTTATTTTCAGAGAATTTGAGTATTGATAAGATAAACCTTGTATTAGTACGGAGCCAAGGGTAGACTTTATTATTTATGTTATCTGTTCCTTCACAATTTTAATTTAGTCATAAGAAGTAGTTTATAATAATGTTAATATTTGTTTCCAAACTTCCGCTACTGTACTTCATTGGCAGCATATTTAGGTGACGGATGGGTCAATCCGAACATCATATCTCGAGCAAATGGAGGCAACTGGTTCATGTGTACTGAAGCATTTATAGAAGACTGTCTGTGGAAAGATTAATGAGTCGGCTAGAGAAAACGATTAATAATTAAGCGAGATTTCGCTCTCGGCAAATTTTAACAGAAACAGAGGTAGAAATGAACCAGCAACACTCCAGGCATGTCTATTTTAACACGATCTAAAGCCGCGTACAGACCGAAAATCCAACGCCGAGCAAACGATGACAAGCACATGTGACGTTGGTGTTTGTTGTTGGAAGGTATTGGAATGTGCTCGTCTACACGTCGTCTACACCTAAATTTAATTTCGAGTTGGACCGCGTTGGGTCCAGTTCGGTGCTAATGTCGAGCGAAGAGTCTCCTATTAATCGAATGCAGACAAACTACTAAATATTAGAAACGCAACAAATCCTGCCCAGACCAAATCAAACCTCCATTTGATGTGTCGATCAAGGAGCGAACGCAATCGAACGCCAACGCCGATCTTGGAAACCGTTGGCTTATGTTCGCTCGCGCCGTACACACCGATTCTAACGCCTCCAAATCTGTAACCACATTTGCCTTGGCTTGCGATAGAATCTCGGTCTGCACGCAGCTCAAGGCGCTATGCACACAGTTGTAGTAGGCGAAAAGGCCATTCTCAGCTAGACACCTAGACAAAGCGATATCCGCTACTATAACGGTTCGACAAATTTCGAACCTGCAATTTTTGACAAATAGCTACAGCAATTAGTTCCAATGCAACTGGATAACTGGAATGAATTTTCCTCGATACTTACTTAAGAATCTTTTATTATGTGATAAGGCAAAATCTGGACAATGTCAGTCCTGGAGACGGGACTTCGCCAATACCCCACACCTTGTATACGCCGATGTGTCTATACTAGAGATGCCACGAATATTCGTCTACAATTCGGGATTCGGCCTACTCGGCCATCTTTTATGGTATCGGTATTTATTTAACAAATTTTGTGAACTATTTGGCCAAATACCGGATATCAAATTATGAAAATAAGTCCAACATATGTATGTGAATAACATTTTTTTTCAGAATCGATCCTTTTTTCCTCGTAACCTACTTATATCTGCCTGTGAATCATACTACTAGGTCTGTAAATTAAAAGATGAGACTGGCAACGTAGCGTTCGACCTGGAAGGATTTTCGGTGCCTTAAGGCATTTTCAGAAGGAAGAGAGTCGTTTGAAGATGAACCACGAGGCTTGGGCGCCTTCATCTTCAAGAACCGATGAAAATATCAACAGAATCCGGGATATTGTGCACCCAGATCGTCAGTTGACAGTCATAATGATTGGGCAAGAACAACTGGGTGTTGCATCTCAATAATGCTCATTGTCCCACTACAATGTCAATAGACGAGTGTTTGGCCAGTAAAAACATTCCTGTGGCTTATCAGCCTCCTTATTTGCCTAACTTGAGTCTTTGTGGCTTCTTCTCTTCTCGAAGTTGAAAAATCATCTCAAGGGGATAGATGGAAACATTGAAATGGCTGTAACCGACCAGTTGAATGTTATTCCAGTATCGGAGCTCCAGCACTGCTATGAGGAGTGGAAGAACCATCTCCAGCGCTGGGAGGCTTCAGAAGGAAGTCATTTTGAGGGTGACAAAATAAAATTGTAATTATATTTGAATAAGAAAACTAAAAAAAATCAGAGTTTTTATCCACTATGCTGTAAATGCGCAAAATGGTGGAAGTGAAGCAATATCGTCTTTCTTTGAGACTCATACAAAATGGTGAATGCGCACCTGTGGTCGCCAATCTTTCAATGTGTTTAGCTCTTTTGATAATTTTGGAATAAACAGTCGAAAGCGACGTACCCTTATCTGAATAGGTTAATGCACCATTGCACTGTATATACATGAATTTGTTTTGCTAATTAATATTTGCCAATGAAAAACTAACAACAAAATAGCTAAGTGGTAGCACTAATGCATATCAATATCTATCAATCCTGGGCATTTAAAAAAAACTAAATTTTTATTCAGCCACAATAGCATTTCACATGATTTAATAACGCACTATTTTAAGCAAAAACATGCGCAGATAAAACATGTATGTTGAAGGAGATGGTTGGCACTCAGACTGATCGATAACTTTTTTAATGTTTGCAGTATTGTTTGATACAGACATTCAAATACAATTACCCAAACGTTCATCTGTAAATCGCATTTGCAAATTATCCTTAATATAAAGTTTAATTTTGAAAAGGAAGATAGAATAGGTAGAACAAAATAACGATTTTTTGAAGACAACACCACACAGAGAGAAAATATGCATTTTTTGTATTTTCTGTCAATTATTTATGCTAATATAATACCGTAAACACATATTTCATTCATGGAAATGTCTCTATTTTCTTTTAATTAAATATCTAAAACTGCAAAACCAATGTCGTTCTCTTAAACGCCGTATTTTTGGCGCGTTTCGCAATTACGTCATAACTGATTTGTCTTTTGATTGTACTTTTGCTTAATTTGCATCATGATTAGCTGTCAAGTTTCGACAGGTTTTATTTTAAACCATATAGTTTTAATTTAGAAAAAACAGTAGCATGGATGAAGAAGGAAAACCTTAATATGAGCATTGTAGTTTATTCATCAAAATACGATACGGAAGGCACCGGATAAAGTATTTTTTATATTACCCGAGATGATGAGAGAAAAGTGGTGTAAAATTATGAAAAGGGGTAATATATCCCCAAAAAATAATTCATATGAAGATCATCTTAACGTAGGTATAGAACACAGAACTACCATTTTGCCTAAGTATGATTAGTTTTTGCTTACCTTAAAATTACAAAGATTATGTATCTTTCTTCCACTTGCTATTTAAGGAAGGCTATATCTCAACAAGTAAGTCTGTCTATATTACCCGAGAAAGTTGTAAAAGCAACCAGCTGCTTCTTACGAAGTGATCAAACATCAAACTAGTAGGTTGACAATTAATGACGGTGAGAACAAAGGTCTGTCATTTCAAATGGAATTGGCCAATCAACAAAGGCAATAGCTTATTAATAAAATAAGCCGCCTACTTCCAAGACAGTACGTCGAGGTACTTAGGTTATAAATCTCACATAGAAGGTTCGAGTTACGCAAGAACATGAGTGTTGTGATCTTCTGGATATCAACGTTGGAGTAACCCAGAGGAGTATCCTAGGTACAGTACTCTATCTTCTGTATACACATATATCAGACACTCCTGCTATGACCAATGTAACAGTTGAAGACGATAGAACATTGACTGCAACTGAGAAAGATCTAATAAAATCTCAGTCTATAACTTTGAGCATTGAAATAAGTGACAAGTACCTAAGTTGATCCTAAATCCTAATACAGATCACTATCTCCAGAAAAACACAATAGGTATCTGCATATGTCTATAAAAATGTGGATATGAAGTTAACAGTATATGTTAGCCGGTGTCTCAACAAAAATGGAAAACAGCTTCATGAGCAAACTGGAAAGGATATCAAAAGCCTGTTTTCGTCGCGACCTTGATATGTTACTAGTGCATATATGAAAATAATTTTAACATGTTCAGGGACACCTACGCCGTACGGCCTCGTGCTGTTTTTGATAAACTACTACACAACGCATTACGGCGTCGAACGGTTTCTTGATCTGTGAAACAGTACGCATAGCGGCGTCCAAGTTTTCATTCAAGGTAACCATACTATCAACCTTACTGTCACAAGTTAACAACACAAACAAAAAGTAGTGTCATTTTTTAGGCACATATCCCCTCCAGTTAACCTATCCTACCACAATTATTGTTGATCAGCTTTTCCCGCGCAGAACGCATATCGGCGTCTTCGTGTCGTAGCAAGTCTTGTATGCATCCAAGTAGTGTATGTATCAGAACGAAACACTTTGTTTATGCAAAATGTGAGTATTCCTACTACGTTATAATTGTAATTACACCATTTCGTAGGATATGAGTACTGTATGATTATGTTACAAAACTGTCAGGCTATAGTAAAATTTGAAAAGATATTTGAGGTTAAGTTTCTAACAATAAAGCAATTAGTTTTCCTATAACAATACCAACGTGGCATATTTCTTTCAGATGGATCGTGAACATTCTTATGACCCATATGTAAGAGAACAACAAAGACTCAGACGCTTGTTTGAAGAAGTTTCGTCCGGGGAAGAAGATCTACAAGATCCTTTTGAAGATGATGGTGAGTTTGGCTCCGATGAGGACTATGTGCCTTCCGAAACAGGAGCAGAACTGTCTTCATCAGATACAGATAATCGGAATCTAGACGAAATGGAGGATGATAGTGACCGTGAGGGTGGCCTTTCAGCACCAGGGGAGGAAGCCGCCGACTACAATGAATCAAGTGACTGGCACCTATACCAGACTTCAATTTTGATGTAACCAGCAATCAATGTAAAATTCGAGAACATTTTTACACTGCAGATTATGGAATATATTCTGGAATGCTCAAATAACTATGGTAATACCTTAGCCAACACAAACCGACCAAAAACAAGATATACTAGAGATGCAAGATTTCGTCCTAACACAGTGGAGGAGATAAAGCAATTTTTTGGACTGTGTTTGCTACAAGGTCAAATTTCAACAAGAAATATGAGACGCTATTTCTCCTACTCTGATCCACTCTACTTCCATCCTGTATTCAGTTTTGTAATGTCTGGAAAACGATTTGAGCAAATTTTGAGGGTAACTTTCTGCTCTCCGTTAAGCTCTAAGCGCAAAGATAAAGTCCAAACTTTGATGGATATGCTCATTTCACAGTTCCAAAATGCCTATTGGCCAAATAAAGAACTGTCGTTGGATGAAAGTATGTTGCATTTTTGAGGTAGACTTGCATTTAGAGTGTACATAAAAGAAAAGAAAGATAAATATGGTATAAAATTAATCGATCAAACGAACTTACCTTAAGTGAAGTTCGATCGTAATTATACGAGGGTCCAGTCCGAAGACACCACTTTATTTATTTGTAGTCCGGCCCTGGATTACTAGTCGCACACCAAGTTAAAAGACAAGAGATCCCCGCTCCCGTCTCGTCGCTCTCCGGTCTTGCACGTTGAGTGTTGAGTCATTTGTTAAAAAAAATGGTACTTGCTCGCAACTTGGGAGGGTTGAAAAAGGGGTGGGAGTGATGTCTTCGGACTGGACCCTCGTATAATTACGATCGAACTTCACTTAAGGTAAGTTCGTTTGATTGATTAATTATACTTTAGGTCCAGTCCGAAGACATCACTTTGTTTGTCTACTATGTAGATGTTTAAAGATAGAACACAGTTGCGAGCGATCTGATGGTGTTATAAAGTGGAATCAAAGTGTTCAGAAACGACAAAACCATATACGTATTTAGTATTCCTATGTAACAAACATAAAATAGATTCTCAAATTGTAACCTAAAGATAACGTTGATATGAGAAATAACTGAAACACAGGAAACATGTAACAAACTCTCAAGAGTATTAGAACTTAACTAATCAGACCAATTTTTTCTAGGATTGCATTTGCAAACTTATTGTTTGGTTGTAGAGGACGATTATAAAATCTTGCAAACGTGGAACGTTGCGTCCAACCAACTGTTTTACATATGTATCTACGGAAACGCCTTTTCTTAACGCCTCAGAAGTCGCCGCATGCCTTACTGAATGAGGCGCAAAAAGTGTTGTGTCTACTCCTGCAGAGGCAAGGGTTTGTTTTACCCATCTGCTTAAAGTGTCTTTAGACGCCCTGCCATGGGTTTTTTCCCTGTCACAAATAGGGAATCGTTATTGGGTTCTCTTAAAGAAGCCGTTCTATCAATGTACGTATATTCTTTCAGGATTGTGGCCACGCAAAGAAGGGGGTTTTGTTGAAAAATCGGGATGTGCAGAGTGGGTTGAGGTTTTCCAACTCTACTGGTTTTAATTGGATCCGATATATTAATAGTTGATTCACTGTGACCATGGATTATATTTGAGAGACGTATAAGAGATATCGTCTGGAGTTTTTCTCCTGTTATCAGGGCTAATAACGTCGTTAATTTCTGTGACAGAGTTTGAAGACTAAGCGGTGATGATAACATCTCTAAATAATTTAGAAGGGGTATAGGGTCCCAGGTGGCAGTATACTTTGGTCGTGAAGGCCGTAAGCGAGAGATGCCTTTTTTGAAACGTTTAATTATCGGATTAGAGGCTAAATCTTTTGAGCAAATTAATGAAAGGGCAGATGTATGGGAGTTAAAAGTACCATACGTAAGGTTTTGATTATTTGTCAATTCTTGCAAGAATGACACCACTTCTTTGATTGTGGGATTAAAAAACGAAATGTCATTACTGAAGCAATAACCCCACCATAATTTATACGAACTGTTATATTGTTGTAAAATGCGTAAAAATAAAATCGATTCCAGGGAATCGTAAACGCGTCAATATATGCAGATCCTGGATCTCTATGCCAGGAGACACATAACTTGCATTTAGCATTTGTATGGGAAGCAAAAAGATCAATCTCTAGGTTTCCGAAAACGGTGGTTAAACGGTAGAAGGCGATTTGACATAATGACCATTCCGTTTCCAAATTCGAACTCCTGGACTCGGTGTCTGCTATAACATTATCCTTCGAAGGAATGTATGAAGCGAAGAGCCAGAGGTTCCTTTGCTCACGCCATTGCCAAATTTGTTTTGACAACGAACAGAGGTCTGGGAATTGAACACTCCCCATTCTGTTGATGTATGAAACAGCTGTCGTGTTGTCACATTTAATTAGAATATTGCAGTTTTTCAAATTTTTGGCATAGCACTGAATCCCGTACGAAATAGCCCATAACTCCAAATTATTTAAATGTAACCGTTTTTGAGAGTCAGACCAGAATCCATGGGTTCTGTCATGGCCACAACCAGCACCCCATCCTGTAAGTGATGCGTCGGTAAAAATTGTTATATGAAAGGAATCATACCTGATGTCATTGAAGGCTTTTGAAATATGATTTGTCCACCAAAAAATATCTGGCTTTATGCTTTCAGGGATAGGCTTCTTTTCGTCAGGAAGTTCTATTTTTAAATGGACACTATCTATCATAAAGCCTAGAAATTTTATGTAAGTGGTAGATACTAGGATGCTTTTGTTTTTATTGATTATAAGACCTAACGATTTTAAAAGACAAATGGTTGTGTTGACATGTTTGAGACAGGATTCATAGGAATCTCCGAATATTAGGAAACCGTCTAGGTAATTGACTGTAGAGATGCCTAAAGTGCGGAGAAAAGAGGCGACTGGCTTCATGAGTTTTGTGAAGCATAACGGAGCTGTACATAACCCGAACGGTATGCAGGTAAATTGGTATAATTGACCTTCAAATTGAAATTTAAGGAATGGTTGATGGTCATTGTGAACGGGTACTAAAAAGTATGCATCTTTCAAGTCGATTGTGCACATATACACGTTTTTGTGAGTCACTTTAATAGCCATTCGTAGGTCCTCCATTTTAAAATGCGGACATTCCACATATTCATTTAATTGTTTTGGATTTAAAATAAACCTTTTTCTACCGCTGGATCTATCTGCTAGGAAACGTGGAGAGATAAATTGTTCGGGCCTTGACTCAGATTTGAGTATGGCTCCGGACCTTAACAAATCGTTTATAGCTAATCTTACTAGCGATGTTTCTGTAGGGAAAAAAATATTTTTAACCAAGTGATGGCATGATGGAAGATTGTCTTTAAAGGGAATCCTATAACCTTGAATCCAGGATAAGACTGTCAAATTTGAGGTTAGTTTGGACCAAGAGTCCAAGTAAAACTGTAAACGGCCAGCAAACGGAACTTGTTTTACCTTCAGCGTTTCCTGGTTTGCTGTTGTCTGTTCTGAGGAAACTGTTTCGAGGAATGGCCTTCGTATTGCCTCACCTCCCTCTTGCGGTAAGACGGGCGATACCTGTTTGAAGGTCCTGCATTCTTGGAAGAGCAGTCCCCCCCTTCTTTCGGAATGATTGAAGGCCCGCGCTGATTGAGAGCTAATGCGTGAGGGGTTAGAAGGCAAACGTAAGTCCTGTCCTGCCTTTTGCAAAGATTCCAAATTTTTTGCTCGTTCACCTAAATCTGGCCCAAACAAAATTTCACCAGGTATGGTATTTTCAGTCAGTTCTTTAACTGATTTGTTAAGTACTGGGCTAATTAAATATTTCCTTGTTTTCGAAATATCGTGGAAAAGAGCCGCCAATACTAGTGCAGAATCTGTCAAAGACTTTTTCCCTGACAAGACTCCTCAAGGAACTGGGAGAATTAACCTCCAAATCCCCGCTTATTAAATTTAACAAATAATTACTGGATTCGTATTTTGTTTGTGACTAACAGTACATTTCACTCAGTCCGAGAAGCTGTTAAGAAAATGTATTGCCCGTTTTGTATAAAAAAATGCACTTTATTTATTGGCGTTTGTGCATATTTTGTGTGGGGGGGTGCATGTTGTGCATATGTTCGTAAAATTGTGCATAATATGCACAATTGTGCATGTCGGAACATCCCCGGACCTTGAACGTCTACGGCTCAGCCGAGAACGAGAACGCTTAAAGTAATGGGGCGAATCGGCACGAGGCCTCGACCTGCTGCTTCTACCCTCAAGTTCCTGGTGTAAAATGTCTTTAGGGATGCTGGATTCGTCTTTCAATATAACGTTGAGTGCTTTTCCCAGGGTGGTTAGTCCGTTACCAATGTGCAATTGGTACCCGGAGTGAGTGGAATCCCTAGTTAAATGTGTGGATGAAAGTTAAAACTAGACGTATTAGCCTTTTCAGGGTCGGCACCCAGAATATTTAATGTGTCCTCTGATAATGGCATACAATCGGCGTCGTCGAGTATCAAAACATCGTCCATACAGTTTTGCGTTATTGGCGCCGCTCCCAAATCCGGCCCTGTCAGTACCTGAGCTTCCGGCCCGCACGGGGAACGACCAGACAGGCCTACCTGACGCTGTGCATTATCAGCTGGGCTGGATGAATTCTGTTTTTTTTTCCGCACATTTCGTCTCTCTCTACGTCGCCTCGACACGCTCGGTGATCGACTACGACTGATGCTACTCCGCGAACGGGACCTTGACGGTGTTGTTCTCGATAGATTTTGAATTGTGCAAAGATGTCAATAGAAATTGTGCATATTTCTTTAATAAATGTGCATATATGATATGTATACTAATTTTCTGGCGCAGCCGCCAATTTCAAAAAAATGAAATTTCATGGAACCATTGACGTGGTCCCTGTCGCGAGGTTTTTCTTCCATGGTTTTCTGCTAAGTATATCTTATATTATATATAACGTGCTACTAGATGAGCAACAAAACAACCCATTGTTGTACCTACTTACCAACCTACTCACCAAGCACTAAACCGATTTGAAAAGGAATCGCGTATTTTACGTGATTCCTAACGCACAAACAAGCCGGGCGACCGTACGACTGCAACAACAAAAACCGAATGA